TATAAATTTAAAAATATTTAATTAAAGTATATTTCATACGATACTTTTCGGATTTTCGTGGCTGTTGTTTGATCATGATATTGTCTTTTTCGGAACTTGTCAAATTAATCAAATTCTAAGCAAGACAATAATTTATGGTTATTTTATAATATTATCCGTTACAATTGCAGGAGTTTTCTCCCACTAAGCGGAAAATTTAATCGAGATGCTAATTATTAGGTGGGGTAGAGGTAGACCTAGATTAGATTACTCTTCGCAAATAGTTAAGGATGTGGGTTGTTGTAGTTTTAGGGAAATGCGAAGGTTAGCTCAGGATAAGAAAGAGTGGAGGTGCGTGTCCAACCAGTCTTAGGACTGACGACTTTATGATGATGATGATGAGGCTAATTATTTAGATAAAAATAAAATACTTTACCAGAGAAGCATGCCTTGCGTAAACATTGATTGAATTTGGGTCCTTACATACTATATAAGGTACGCAGCGTTTGAAAGAAATTTAAAATCTGATTTGACGGGTTGACAAGAAGATTTTGTTTAGGTTTTTTATTTTTACAAGTGGCAATACTGAAATTGATGTGCAGTTGTTTATCGCGCAGTGATTCTTGCGTTTTCTATCTTTTTTTACTGACGACACTTTTCAGGCATTTTCGCTTTGACTTCATGTTTTTGCACCTAATTTTGGCCAAGAAGGCTTTGTCTTAATGTAAATTTGTATAAACTAGTTGTGAGAACTGAAAATTCGTCTGTGAATAGGTCAACATCGTATTCCTATGAAGTGGGCAACTCGTCTTGCAATGTACAGAGCGTCTTGCCAATTTGCCATGCTAGACTATCTTTAACCTCTTATAGACTAAATTTAATGGTTTCTGAGAAATTCACAGCACGGATATATAATATAAAATAGCATATGAAGAAGAAGACTGGTATGGAAATACAAAAGAGACTCGCTCCTAATTATCACAATAAACTGCAACGAGTTGACCTGCGTCTCGCGTTAATAAAATGACCACATGGAAATGGGCGAATGGCACGTGCCAGCAGGTTACAATTTGTTGTGGTAATTTCTCATTTACATACATGAACATGTCAAACAAATGAAATTGAATTAAAACGATACATCGCTTGATTTACGTGACAAAATATGCAAAACTACCAACACCCCCCGTACACTGAAGAATTTAAAACACGCAGATATAGACTTCTACAAACACAGTCGAATTTCGTTACAAAGGATACGGATGAGCGCTTAGTTTTAACGAATGGAATTTAAAGAACAAAATTACTTTCTATCTAAACA